CTAATTTACAACCTTGAGCTGCTTCAAAATGCACAACACCACTATTATTCATAACTTCACACAACCTTGTCGTCTCGCCTTCCAACCATTACAACAACAGTAACATGCCAAGCTTTACACACACAGTTATACATCACGTAAAAGCCAACTAGCTACACGACCCCACAAAGCCAGGAAAAACGTATATGACAAAACAAGTTGTGAATATGTTGCTATCAAACGAACCCACAAACATTCCAAATGTGCAATGCAAACCGTACAACAATAACAACAACACGAATCGCAACAACAATAACCATATATTTCCCGAATCGCAACAACAACAACCACAAATAAATCCAAATCGAAATCAAACTAGAAAAGAGAAGGAAGAGAGAGATTGACACGAACAATGTGAAACTCAAACCAAGGAAACGAACCTGAGAATCAAACATAGAGGCGAGGGAGATGGAACCGAAACTGAAAGAGACGAGTTGAGCATGAGATAGAACGAGAAAGGTCGGAACGAGCATGATTTTGTGTTGATCTGTTTTTTGTTTTGGTTTAAAGAAGGAAAATAGAATCTGATGTTTTTTTTAATGTTATTGCTTTGTTAATGGGCTTAGAGGCCCTTGGCGAATCCATTTTAGCACCCTCCTGCTCACTTCAGCCACCCTCACCATATTTGTTTGTTTTTTTTTTTGAATTTTTATTTCATGATTTCCCGGGCTTTGCTAAGCCCATGTATATTCCCATTCTATAGCCCCTTTTATCATGCTGACCCCCTCATTCTTTTATTTTCATCTTGTTTCTAATTTCCTTTTCTTTATTTATTTCCTTAAGCATTTCATAGATTTCTCTTGTTTTATTAGTATTTTAGTTTTTAGATATTGATTTTATGTATCTTAATCTACTTTCCTTTTTGTTTTCCATTTTATTTTGATTTATGGTCAATGAAAATCTAAAAGTCGTGGGTTGTCGATTCATCAATAAAAATCCATGATTAAGATTAGACCATTTCCTTTTCTGATTTATCGCATTACATGTTTATTTCCATTTCATATTAACTTCGTATTTTCATTTCAATTCTTGGTCGATGAAGTCTTTAACATCGCGAATGTTGGTTGTTGAGGTAATTTAACCTTCACTATTTCAAATCTGTAGTGATTGATCATTGAGATCATTTTCTATACTTTGGAATCGTGATAGTTACCTTCGATTAATCGATAAAAGTTTGTGATTAAAAAGAGATCATTGTCTTTTCTTTGTGTGTGTGACATGATTTCTTTGAGAATGATCTATATATCATTTCTCTATCGTGTTTTAGCACACACATCATTGTTGGACGGCCTCCTATAGCATGATCTTAGTCATAGATCGTGCTACGATGGTTTAGTTCTAAAGTGGACCCGATTCATTTGATCCAATAATGATTAACAATTAACCACTAACTTTAATTTTTGTTCAATATACTCTTGATTTACTTTTCTATCAATATATCACTGTCTATATACTCTTGTTCATATTATATTGTTCATATATTATTGTTGATGTTATCTGGTCATTATATTGTTCATATCATATTATTCATCTGTCCATATTCATACCTTATTCATAACATTCAAAAACACAATAAAATTATCGAAACCCTAAAAAATTCTCAATTGGTGGATTGTGGTTACTTTTTCGATCAACGGAACTTGGACTTTGAACATAAACTCTAGCAAGAAGATTTTTGTCCGAATCTTGTTTGTGGCTTAGTTTAGGACACCTCACACACACGGCTTCCTCTTGGGATACTTTACAATGATACCCTTTATTTCTCGCAATCTCGTGTAACTTATATGTACCCCACTCCTATTCCGATGTACGCACTTTACTCGTTTTCCTTGATTGTGATTTGATGCTTTAAACCATTTCTAAAACTTATTCTTGATCCAACGTCGAGCCATTTTCCACCCTTGTAATTCGATTGCTTTCAAATAATCGTCATCAACCTTTTGGTCACAATACACAACATTCAAAGCTTACTCCTGAGCTTTCTTAAAGTGAGACATATTCAATCAATTACTTCTAGTTGGTCGTTTAGAAGACTAGCTTACTTTGCTAGTGCGCACTGTCGTAACCCGAAATTTGATGTCCTTTTTTTCCTTTTGTATAAGAACGAGCATTCGCATCGCTGACATACACATTCGCGTTTTTTCTCTGTGATTTTTGTTACAGGAATATTCAGGTTTTCCAAGCCCGATTAATCACATCCTCTCAAAGATATCACATCATCAAAACAAGCATAAAATGAAGGTTTATATGCCTATTAATCAAAACAAAAGGTCGGAAATCAGAACCGTGGCCACAACACCATTTTGCAAGCAAAATATGCAAATTTTGCCTGTGGTAATCAGCTACCACTTTAGGGTAACCAATTACCCTGTGCAAAAATGCAGTTTTTGCTGCATTTTTTTGTGATAGCACTTCACTCTACCATTTTAGGGTCTACTTGGTTCTAGCATTGTGTGGAACATTGTAGACATCTCTAGATAATTCAAGACCTTTCTAAACACTTCAAGACATTTGCTCCAATACATTAATTGGGATTAAGACCACCATGTTGCTTCATTCCCAAGCATGTGAGCCCTTAGATTCAAGTTTGCATTGGGATGGTTACCGATTCAACTACCTAACTAACTGAGTTAACCTCCAACTTAGTGAGTAGAGGCTAACTAAATAACTTAGTGAGCACAATCGGGGGATGGGGGAAGTCTTTGCCTTGTCTGGGACAGAGACTACTAGTGTTGACTGTTTGATTCGGGGTACGTCTTTTATAAATGGTATGCCTTTGATTGCTATTATTGACACGGGTGCAACACATTTGTTTTTTTTGCTTGATTGTGCTAAGAAGTTGGGTTTGAAGTTGTCCTCTAAATGAACTGGTTGGAGTTCAATCATGTTCATATCAACTGTTTTGTTGGATCAAGCTTATTTGTCTTGTTTTTGAAAAGTGGGTGATTAATTTTATCTTGCATTAAGGAGACCTAAGCAACTAACGATCAAAGCACAAAGATAAAAAATATTACACTTTATGAAAGTGGGTATACATTTGTTCAAATGAGAATGAATCCAAACCATAATTATTTCTTATGAAAAATATTTGAAGTTGGATCAAATTTATTTGTCTTGTTTTTGAAAAATGGGAGATTGATTTTATCTTGTATTAAGGAGATCTAAGCAACTAACAATCAAGTACTAAGATTAAAAATATTACACTTTATTAAAGTGGATATACATTTGTGATGAGAATGAATCCAAAGCATAATAAAACAAATAAAAATCTTCTTCTTGCGGCCACCAATGGCTTTGTACCAAGATTGCAATGCCACTTGTAATAAATCTTCTGAGTTCATTATGTAGACTAGCAATGCCACTTGTAATAGAGCTTCTCAGTTCATTCCGTAGACTAGTTCTAATGCTTAGAGCATCTCCAATGGTGTAACCCATTTTTAGGTTTTTTGTGGGACCCACTCTTTTAAAGCAACTCATTCAATTTTCACTCCAATGGTGGAACTCTAAAGAATTCATATTAGGTCCCACCACTTTACTTAAAAAATATTATTTATATTAAATTTATTTTATTTAAAATTATAATTTAAATATTTAAATTTTAATTAAAATGATAATTAAAATAATAAATAAAATTTTATATCAAATTATAGTTTTTATATTATAAAATTAATATTTTAATATAAGAACCATTGAAGAACCGTTGTATATTTAAGAACTTTTCCATCTTGAAAACAACAAATATGAGTGCCATGTTGGCAAACCCACTCTAAGAACTTCCATTGGAGTTGGTCTTAGAGCATCTCCAATGGTGCAACCCATTTTTAGGTTCTTTGTGGGACCCAATTTTTTAAAGCAACTCATTCAATTTTCACTCAAATGGTGCAACTCTAAAGAATCCATATTGGGTCCCACCACTTTACTTAAAAAATATTATTTATATTAAATTTATTTTATTTAAAATTATAATTTAAATATTTAAATTTTAATTAAAATGATAATTAAAATAATAAATAAAATTTTATATCAAATTATAGTTTTTATATTATAAAATTAATATTTTAATATAAGAACCATTGAAGAACCGTTGCATATTTAAGAACTTTTTTATCTTGAAAACAACAAATATGAGTGCCATGTTGGCAAACCCACTCTAAGAACTCCCATTAGAGTTGGTCTTAGTAATTTCTAAAACCTACGACAATCCTTATCTATTAGCAATATATATATATATATATATATATATATATATATATATATATATATATATATATATATATATATATATATATATATATATATATATATATATATATATATATATATATATATATATATATATATATATATATATATATATATATATATATATATATATATATATAAAATTTGGATTTTTGGTTATGATAGTTGAATTATTAATTGATCCAACAATCGCATTCATAAATTTAAATTATTTAAAAAAGATTTAATATTTTTTAGTTCTATCTTAATTTTAAAGTTTATTTAATTTTTTTTGTTAATTAGATAAAAAAAGGATTAACATGGTTTGTTTTGAAAAATTAAGAAATCAATATGCATAATAAGAATTTATTAATATTATTCTTAAAATAATTAATCACTTGTATTTTAATCTTTAATGTGTATGCATAAATTTTTTTATTTATAATTGAAAATGCACAAAAATAATGCATGAATAACCCTGATTTTGATTTAGAAATATACAAGAAGATTAAAAGTCAATTCAAATACACAGGAGATTATACACAAGATTTGACACCTACCATACAATAATTTATTCATTTGTCACTAAACACGTTTAAAACTATTCACATGATCATTAACAAAACACATTAGATTCCCGACATTATTTGTCCACTGTCTTTGTCTTTGTGTTTAGGTTGGGTGAATGACTAGTTGTCCGGTATATACAGCATCATGCCTTAACCCACTCTCCCAAATTTTCAAGCTCCAACAGCAGTATATGCGCTTAACAAAGCATCCAATTCGCTGTTTGTGCGTGAAATCTTTCTATCACCATCTTCCACTCTGTTTCCCCATATTCCAGGAATCACTTCCGCAAGTGCAACTCTATTCACACATTCCACTACATAGTCCCCAACTTTGCTTTTCACACCCTCCCCAACCTAAAAAAGCAAACATCATTAATAAATTTCATAATAACAAATAATAAATTAACATCATAGGAGTTTGCTTTGTATAATTACCAAAACAGTATGGAGACCCATTTCTTTACCCGCAGCGATATTTCTTACGCTGTCATCCAAAAACAACTGCAATACAATACATAACAAAATATTACAAATTTAAAAATTTTCATATTATTAATTTATCCATCATTTTTCAAAGTTAGCAACAAGTTTGATGAGTTGACATACGGTACGACGAGGATCGACGTTAGCAGTCTGAATCGCGATTTTGAAGGCATCCAGCGAAGGTTTCAAAACGACAGGAAACTCATCGGGTCGGGTCGAGTTCGGTAGATTCGGGTTTATAGTCTCGAAGCATATAATCTGTTCGAAACAGTCCTTTATACCAAGCCGATCCAACGCTTTCAACGCATGGATCCTGTCCGAATTCGTGAAAATCTATACAGGAAACAGAAATAATTCCAGAATTAGAAATATTTATACTAAAAAGAATAATCTCTAAAAGAAAATGGAAATATAAAATAATAATAATAATTGGCATACTCACAATTTTCCTTTGTTTGATTGAACGCAAGAGGTTTCGTAACTGAATGTCAGGTTTGATTAATTCGTAAGGTAGTCTTCCGTGCACGAAACTGTTTATAGTAAAAAGAACGAAAATGAATCATGATTAGACTACTAAATATATTAGTTAATTACTTATATGCTTGAATTTTTGAATTTTTTTTACCTGTGGTATTCTTCTGCGGTGATATCATAGCCTAGTGCCTGCAAGTAATTAATTAATTAATTAGAATTAGATTGAGATTATCGTTATTATTAAGTTATTATTAAATTTTTGGGTAGTGAAAGAGAAGAGGTATTAGAATACTGACTCGTAAACCGGCGAGGGTGCTACCGTGGGATTTGAAAAGTTCGACACGGAGGGTGGAGGCTTTGGATGGTGAGAAACCGCATTTTTCAATTAGGAAGAGATCGATGTTTTTCTTAACGGAAGCTCCGATTCCGGTGGTGGATGGGTACAAGGTGTCATCCAAATCTGATTGAGAGAAAATGAATTAGAGAAAGTGATTTTGAATGGGTTTGTAAGAGAGAGAGAGAGAGAGAGGGGGGTGAAATGCTTACCAAAGATGATGCAGTCGAAGGGAGAAGAAGGTTTGTTACGGAAAGCCATGGTTTTTGTCGTGTTTTGAAAAGATGAAGAAAATGAAAAGAGAGAGCGAGTGAAAAATGTTTCGGTGGGAAGAATATATAGAGAAGGAAAGGGATGAATAAGGGCATATCCGTAATTTGGAAGAATAGTGAATAACGATTAATGAATAATTAATACTGTAACAAACTAACATAAATGACAAACGTGGATAATACAGAATGGATTGAATGGATAGGCACGGAAAATTCCAACAATGCTGAGTCAGCGTTTTGCATTGTTTGTAAGCCGAGTAGGGGTGGGGTCCATGAAATAGGCGCGTAAGATAACTAACGTTTCCGCGGAAAATTGTGCAAGGACGGTTATGCCCTTTGTAGTTATCACTTATCATGTGTGAACGGAGAGATAAGTCAATTCGCAACAAAGGTTATCTAATATTCTATGGTTGTTTGTCATGTGACTCATGACAAGTCCTCACAATAATATTATAAATGCAGTATCTTATATCTTTTAAGCGTTTTACTATCGTATAGTAGTTTATCAAATTTTTGTAGTTTTCTATTCTAAAAATAAGAACTTATTGTATAGAATAGTTTTTAAATAATACAAGAAAACATAATATCTTATGAATTAATCAAATAATAGTGGTTAGTCCCTATCACATAATAAAAAAATTTTTTAAAATTTTTTTTAGATAATAATTAGAGATGGCATTTAGACTCATCTCCGGTAAATATCTACAAAAATTATCCATGATATATAACATAAAAATTCGTAAAATAGATACAGGCATGGACACATGCAATTATCCACTAAAATAAGCAGATATGGATTCAGGTACGAGTATCTTAATACCCGCCCCACCCTATAACCGCAATCAGGGCCGTCTATGACGACGTACAAGGCGAACTACCGCACAGGGTCTAAAGTTTTCCAAGACTAAATCATAGCTAAAAAGGGTCTCACAAAATATTTCTTATGAGTTAAACATAACAAAATAGGATCCATATTTATTTTCCCGTAGTCAAAATATGACAAACCTACACAGAGCCTCCAAAATTTTGTGACGGTCCTGCCTGCAATATATATATATATATATATATATATATATATATATATATATATATATATATATATATATATATATATATATATATATATATATATATATATATATATATATATTAGATCTGTTCGTAACCTTATGTTTCCTACCGATATAAAAATCAACAACAAAATTCTAATTACCCTTAAACTCATATCAGAATTCAATTAGAGAATTAAGGCAGAAGCATACCTAAATTAGTCATTGAAATGTTGAAGGTTGCGGGTCTGTGATCTTCCAATTTGTAGAGTTCCTTAGGGATCCTTGAATATTCTCTAATGGGGATAAAGAGAGAAAACATGATAAACCGTATTTTTATCGTACTTTACAAATGGGGACCATAACCGATTTAAATAACCCTAGAGTTATTTCTTAATTTTCAATATTCTAATTTGACCCCTCATCAAATTAGATATTGACTTATAGTATCTAAACAATAACTTGAACTTTCATGATATTTATGCTTTTAGCCACAAACTTAATATTATATTAATTAGACTCCTTTAAGTCTTGACTAATTAAAATAGTGGTACTAACACTAATACCTTAAATGTTACATTTGTGACCCAAAATTCTAACAATCTTCCACTGGTCACATATGTAAATGACAATAAACGTAAATAATTAAAAATGGAAATAAAATATTTTCCAACAGGTTATAATATTTTCAATTTAGTTTTTATTTCTTTCAATCTTATTCTATTATTCTTGCTTGCTTAATTAAATTTCATAAAGTTTGTTGATTTAATTCGATAGTTGTATGATCCTTAACCGTAATCACATTAGCGTTTGCTTAATTCGTTATCATGATTGATCAAATCGTGTTTGCTTAATTCAAAGGGGGATTAATTCCGTTTGCTTAATTCGGATAATTGGATCCTACATCATACATACAAATTACGTTTGTCAATGAGTATCTAATTGAATAGGAATACATAATCTGTTAGGAGATTGAAGTCATAATAACCGATGATCGGTAGGAACCAATAAGCAAAGTAATTTTTCAGCTTATTTAACAATCACTTAATTGCATTATTCCTTTCTGTTTAATCAAAACTCAAACCCCCCATTGTCCAATCGGTCTGTTAACAATAATACAAGAATCCTTGAAATACTCGTTTTTGATCCGTGTTCGACAACGGATCAAATTGGCCCCATTGTCAACCCTTTATGCAAGGACCGCTCCAACTGCATAGTTAGATGCATCACACATAATCTCAAAAGGAATGTACCAGCCAGGAGGTTGTATGATGGGGGCAGATGCTACTTTTACATGGAGTTACTCCTTGGTTTGCTGATATTGTTAATTATCTTATTGCTGGTGTTTTTCCTACACGTGCATCTAAGGCGCAAATTCACAAACTCAAGAGTGATGCCAAATACTATGTGTGGGACGATCCATATCTTTGGAAGTTTGGTAGTGATCAGGTTATTAGGAGGTGTGTCCCCGACTATGAGATTGAATCTATTTTGCATTTTTTTCACGCTTCTCAAGTAAGGGGACACTTCGAACCTCAAAGGACAACAAGAAAGGTCATGGGCTCAGGTTTCTATTGGTCTACCATCTTTAAAGATGCGTATGAGATATATCGCACTTGTAAAGAATGTCAAATAGCAGGTACAACCATCACTTGTAAGAGTGAAATGCCTTAGCAACCTATACTTTTCTATGAGGTATTTGATGTATGGGGAATTGATTTTATGGGTCCCTTTCCTGTATATTTTGGTTTTCTCTATATTTTACTTGCTGTTGATTATGTTTCAAAGTGGGTGGAAGTTATCCCCACTAGGACTAATGATTCTAAAGTTGTTGTAGATTTTGTCAGGTCCAATATTTTTTGCAGGTTTGGAATACCCCGAGCTATCATAAGTGACCAAGGCACTCATTTTTGTAACTGCACCATGGAGGCATTGCTCAAAAAGTATGGAGTTGTGCATAGGATCTCTACTGCATACCATCCACAAACTAATGGGTAAGTTGAGATCTCAAACAGGGAGATCAAGCAAATTTTAGAGAAAATGGTGCAACCAAACAGGAAGGACTGAAGTCGCCGTCTAGAAGACACAATTTGGGCTCAAAGAACAGCTTTTAAGACACCAATAGGGATGTCTCCCTATAGACTTGTATTTGGTAAGGCATATCACCTCCCTGTAGAGATAGAACATCGTGCTTATTGGGCGGTAAAAAGTTGTAGTTTGGATATGCAACAAGCAGGTATAGAAAGAAAGCTCTAGTTACAACAGCTTGAAGAGCTTAGGCTAGAAGCTTATGAAAGCTCTAGGATTTATAAGGATAAAATTAAGCACTTCCATGATAAGATGATTTCTAGGAAAGAATTTTTCATAGGCCAAAAAGTTTTATTGTTTAACTCCCGCCTTAAACTTATGGCTGAGAAACTTTGATCGAAGTGGATTGACCCTTTTGTTGTTGCTAATGTTTTTTCTCATGGTGTAGTAGAAATAAAAAGTACAGGTACTAACAAAGCCTTTAAGGTCAATGGGCAGCGCCTGAAGCTATTCCATGAGAGTTCGGTGTCTAAAGATGCACCCATAGAAAAGCTTTCCTTGTAATATCCCACTTACTCTACGACTTGACCAGGGAGCACCTTTTCCTTTATCTCACTCTTGTTAATAGGTATGTCCTTTCATTGAGGACAATGGGTGTTTTAAGTGTGGGAGAGGGAACCACTTCTTTGTTTTTTTTTGCTTTGCTTTGTTTTGTTTTCTTTAACTTTTTGTTGTAGGAAGAAGCTGATTCAGTGTGTAGCAGGCTCGAACAATTCATTGAATTCAGGACCCAAATTCTTCCTTTAGGAATATTTAGTTTTCGGTCGGGTTTTTTTTTTTATGTTTTTCGATACAGTTGGGTCAGAACCGGATTTTGTGTTGCTTCCCTATACCTAGTAGCATCTGTGCTACTATGGACTACCTTCTTTTTGACAATTTTATTTTTTGCTCTGTACAAAAAATTCATGGAGAACTAATTTCAATCGTTGATTTGCTGTATTCGGTTCCGACACCTTGAGGTTATAATAATTTCAAATTTAGTTTTTATTTCTTTCAATCTTATTTTATGATTCTTGCTTGCTTAATCCAAATTTCATAGAGTTTGTTGATTTAATTCGATTGTTGTATGATCCTTAACCATAATCATGTTAGCTTTTGCCTAATTCGTTATCATGATTGATCATATCGTGTTTGCTTAATTCACGAAGGCTTAATTCCGTTTGCTTAATTCGGATAATAGGAACCTACATCAGACATACAAATTGCGCTTGTCAATGAGTTTGTAATCGAATAGGAATAGATAATCCGTTAGGAGATTGAAGTCATAATAACCGATGATCGGTAGGAACCAATCAACAAATTAACTTTTCAGCTTATTTGATAATCACTTAATTGCACTATTCCTTTCTGTTTAATCGAAACTCAACCCCTCATTGTCCAATCTGCCAGTTAACAAAAATACAAGAATCCTTGAGATATAAATCGAGTCATTTTCTCTTTACTATTTTTTCAAAAATACTCGTTTTTTTATCTGTGCGCGACAATGAATCAAATCTTAATGAGACAAGACTTTTCCTCAAGCATATAGCAAGAGACTTTGATCTAAACTACTGAAGGCTCAGCAGAATAGAGAACGAGGTGTACATGATACAAGCATTAGAGGTACGTGAAATCACCATAACAAAAACCTAAAGCTCTTAATATTTCTAAGATATTCAATGGTAAGAAATCTTAAGGCTTTTATAATTAAAACCTACAACAGAAAATTTGCATATTACAATAGAGTTGATAATTGCTTGATCTTGCTACTCCTTCATCTGAACAATCCTTGTTAAGATTCAAACTTGAATCTTCATCCATATTTATAGCCTTTGCAGAAACTATCCGTTGAAGAGGTAAATTGATCAAGTGA